TTTGGTGTGTAGGTAGCTGAGAGAGAGATGTACATAATTAAATGCAAATTATGCAAATGAGGACTTAATTTGCATAATTAATGAGGAAATTCTATAATTACAGTGTTTTACATTATACTACTTACATACATGTAATGTATGTAACCTATGGCAGGTGGAACTTCAACAGATACTAATTATGCAAATGATGACCTAGTTTGCATAATTAATGCGGAAATTCTATGATTTCGTAATGGTGAATGATGAGAATGTCATACTTGGGACATCTGTAAGTTAATCAAAAGTTAACATACATCACGATGCATATATCATGTTAATGCAGAGGTCATTTGCACAATTAAAGAAGAAATTTACATTTACATATCAAGATCATATTTCATGGAGGTATGAGATCTCGGAATTCTAGTTTTAAATAAGTCCACATACGTTTGCCAACATGTCTAGTGGTAGCGTCAATATAAGATTTGTAAACTTGAGAGCGCAACCATACGTCTGCCTTTGTCTCCTTATTTGATATGAAAATGTACGGCATTGGCCGCTAGCACACTGAATTGAGTACATTAGATCTCCTACATCCTTGAAATACAATTTAAGCAGGTCCTTGTAGACTTGGAGTCTCTGTGCACTACAGAGAGTATCTCAGTTTTCCCTTTGCATTTGTGATCAGAAGAATGGTTTACTCAATCTAATCATCTACATGGAACTACTGAAAGGCTGAATTGTGTGAACTTACTTCACATTGGTAAATATTAAAACGTTCACATTAAAGTACAAGGAGAACGAATCGGACTAATGTTCGATGTATTTGTAGCGTCCAAACTTGATCACAAATCAGGGCTGACTGAAGCATGAGGAACCACTGTGACAATGGTTTGCGAACACGAAGAAAACTGTGTCGATGAAGTCGTGCAGACAGAACATAAGCTGATTTTTAGGAAGTGATGAAAGATGGTAGATGCTATCTGAATCATGCATCTGACTCTTCAGAGAATTTATCCAGCTGCTTGATCTACTTTACATTACATGAGAAGCAAGACGTGCCTGCAAAACTAATTAACACTGACAGCCATCTATAGCTTTGCCCTCACCATAATTCAGTTAGTTCGTATTAATGGCGTGAACTACTGAATTACTGAACGTCCGACGTCGGCATCAGCGTTGATAAAGTCATTAGAACGAAAAGTGAAGAGGAAATCCTATATCAATCCTTTTTACGCCAACGATTGGCGGTAATTTTTGTCCCTCTCCTTTCTTACTTGCATCCAAAACATGAAAAAATCAGAACTAAACTAATTTAAACGCAACCTGCCTATGCAAAAACATTTATGTCTTTGCCTCTCCATTTCTGTGTGAACATGTTTGAGTACCATGGATAGGTGGAAACGGATTCACAGTTTTAAACAATAGCTGTGGTTAACTGCAACAAAATCCTTAAAACGTACATATAATCTTGGTATTCAAACACATCACTCCTGTCTGTCATCTAAGATCTTTTCAACAATACATTTCTACTTCTCTCGACCGTGAAGATCGTTCGTGCGTGATGTTACGAAGACCTTCAATTAGCTTTGACCCAAATCCAATTTCCGAGCCAATCTTACCCGCGATGTTTTGAACCACGGGATGTGCGCCAGTGAGCCTCCTCGTAATTCACTCTACCTTCTCGGAATAATAAAAACAGACTGTTGGCGTAGCAACGTGATTCAACGGCTATTTGTATTACTTGTTATTACAGCGCTGTGGCTTTATTGAGATTAACTATATATTCTTTTAAAGAATCACATAACAGGTGGCTATCACGTTTTCAAGATGTCAACGCAGAGACTGGGCTGTAACGTTTGCGCTACTCACACCAGGATGGACATCTGCTCTTTTCGATAAGTGTGTTGGGCTCTTTAACGAACTCGAGTGTGCGTCTCCTCAAACATGGGATCTGTCACTTTGCGTCCGAGAGAACATCGCTATAAGTTATCCCTATAAACATCACTATAAGAAGCTATAAGTTCTCATTCCAACTGATCCGAGTGAGGAAATAAGTGTAAAGTGCCTTTCCCAGGGGCAATACACTGCTAGTGATTTGAAATAGAACATTCAGATTCAACAACCCCAACCACAAAACCACCTTGCCCCCTTTCTGCACTCCGCTAACGTATAAACCCCAGGTCAACATCATACAAGTCAACAAGTGGAACATGCTCGTCACGGATGATGTACAGTAAAAGCACTACTTACTGGGTCCGGTAAGAGCACTACTTTCGTGACAAATAATAGTCACGATACTAAACGACTTGTGTTAGTGGCTGACATCACTGGACATGCATTGGTCACGCAGGTTACGGTACAGGGCGTACAGCTGGCTACGGAATTAGGGCAACTCTCACCGCGGCAACAGAAGTAAAACATGAAGAATG